TGCTTACCAACTTATCGCCTTACTCATTAATTTTTAACATTATTTCAACTCTTTTTCTCTCCTTCTCCTCGTTCCAGCTCCCTGTCCTTCCTATTTCCAAACTACCTATTGACTGACTCATCTTACAAATCATACCATTCGTTTACTTAAAATCAGTGTGATATGCTTCGTGGATATTTTCTCTGGCGAAGTTATCTGGATGGCTTGTAATATGGAGCTAGTAGAGAAAGTGAATTCCGATAAGGTTTACAAAAAAAAATTAGAGTAGACTAGAGACCATTATTTACAATCAACCATTAAACGTAAGAGAGCCTAACATCACAAAAGGAGGGAGGGTGGAGTTTCTGACCAGCATTCATGACGGTGGGGCGGTAACCTCAATCTACCCATGTCTGTGTGGCAGAACATTTTGTTTGTTTACGGCTCCTTACGATATGGCAGGATGTAACAAATCAGTGATATTGATGTTACTTTTCCTTGTTAACCTCGTCTACAACTCATGTCTGTAACCTTGCACTGGTTTTTACTTCCTACCGAGAAATCCTATTACAAGCTGGTCTGGATAACTATACTAAAAAAGAGCTCATTCATAATTTCTTGAGCTGCAGAGTTAAAAATAAAAAGAATATATAAAACAAAAAATTATATCACTGAGCCTCTTTATTATATTTTGTAAACCAACATTATTACTAACAACTTGGAACTTCTGAATTTCCTCTGTCGTTTCGACTAACTTCCCAATAGTTATCTCACCAATAATTTGTCTTCATTAACCTACATAAGTGCAGGTGTACAGTAATGATATTAAAAAAGTCTGAGTAAACATACCTTTGTTTTATCTATAAACGTATTTTCTGTTCCGCTCCTCGTCCCGTCTTCTTTATTCCTCTTTTTTCAGAAACTTATTCCACTCCTCATATATTAGTCTGGATATTTGCAGTAGACTTGGTTACCCTACCCAAGAACATGTAAAATCATTAGCTGATGAATATCAACCATACCTTTGTACATTTACCGCATCAATTCTTGTTATATGCAAACCTATCTCTACCATGAATCGTTTCTCAGTCCATAAGATGATTGTCGTAACGCAACCTTCGTAACTTGCGCCAATTATTCGCATTGAACATTCCATCTTTAAGAACACAATGAATCTTGTGAAATGTTTCAGTAAATGTATACCGTTTTAAAAAGAAATATGTTGTTAATCTTAATATTTTGATCTTGCCTGTAAAGTGGCATGTCTCTTGTAACATGTTTGTTATTTGAAAATAAATTATTATTATTATTATTATTATATATCATTTATGTACATTAGAAACAAGAGTGGACCTAAGACACTTCCCTGGATAACCCCACTGGTTATTGGTCTTGGTGATGAGTGACAGTCGTTGTTCTTAACCATTTGTTGTCGCCCATTTAGAAATGAATGAAACCATGAATGTAGTGTGTTACTGATTCCGAATGACTTTAGTTAAAGGCGAAGACTTTTGTGTGGGACTTTATCAAAAGCCTTTTTAAAGTCGAAGAAAAGGACTGATACTAGAAGCCCTTTGTCTTGTTGATGCGTACTATCATTGAAATAATCTAGCAGGCATGTGTCACACGATCTGGACCTCAAGAACCCATGCTGTGAGGTCGATATCAGATTGTTACTAAGTAGATGTTGTAGTAACTCTGCCTTAACTATTTTCTCCATAACCCGAGATACTACTGAGGTTATGTTTATAGGTCGGTAATTTTCAACGTTCGCTGTAGGCCCCGATTTTATAGTGGGGATGATATGTGTAGTCTTCCAGTTATTAGGGTAACACTCTGTGGAGAGAGATATAGTAAATAGTTTGAGAAGAATAGCACTCAGATCATTGCTACCATTTTTCAGCATGCTGGCTGGGATGCCATCTGGTCCTTCAATGTAAGAGTGCTTCAGTGTACCAATCGCCTTAGAAATGTTCTGTATACTAAATTCAACACTGGCGATTTCACAGGAAGGAGTTTGGGTCAGATGTGACTCATTTATTGAGTTTTCGTTTGTTAGTGTGGCACAAAAATGTTCGCTAAACAACTCTGCGATACTTTTAGGGTCGTCATACACTTGATTGTCCTTAATAAATATGCTCCCTCCTTTCACTTTGGAGCATTTGAGTTTATTCCGAAGGAGTTTTATGAGTTCAGAGGATTCCCTGTTCAGCTGAACAGCACGCTTTTCCTGTGCGATTGCCTTTTTAGTACGTGTTATTTCTGCCTCGACACATATTTCAGTCATCGTTACTAATGAGGAGAAGTCATTACAGTTATGAAATCTGGAAGCATGTCTTCGAAGACGTTTTCGTATATGACGTGGCATAAATAAGTCCTTAGGAATTCTGGGCCTCCAGGATTCTAGAGGTGCAAATTTGTTGAATATGCTATTTGTGTTGTGATAAAATACATTCATTAGTTCGTCAATATTGTGTGCGGTAAGGTAGTTTGTCCAGTCAATGCTTCTGAGGCAGTTACGGAAGTTTGACCAATCAATCCTACGAAAGTCCCTACGAAGTGTAGTGGATTTATACTTTATAGTTGTAGCTTTTATATCAAGGCTGCATATGACCATATTATGATCGCTACCTGGGAACTTTTTTCCAACATATACAGTGTGAGGAATGAGATTGCTGGTGAAAACTAAATCGAATCTATTTTCATAACTGGTTGGGCCGCTAACATGTTGAGTCCACTCTCCAAGCTCTAAGCATTCGATAAATGATTCGAATCGTTTAGGTGCTTTGATTGGGAACCAAGAGATTTCAGGCATGTTGAAGTCCCCACAAATAGCCTTGCTTGTGAACGGTATGGATGAAACAAACGTGAATACTTCTGACAATAATGCTAGATCTCCTGTTGGTGCATTAGGCTGACGGTAGACTGCCGAACAGCAAGGAAACTTCATTTGAGGGTTTTAGGACGATCCACACAGAATCTGGCAATCTGTTTAATTCCGATATATCACATAAGAATGAGTTTAGGTTAGAGTTGGCATATATAAGGCATCCTCCACCTCTTCCTTGTAAACTATCACTTCGAAATAGATGATAGTTTTCGAGAGATATAGTAAGATAAGAGATATTACTACAGGTCCATGACTCAGTTATAGTTATAAGTGATGGTTGGCAAATAGTCGCAAACATGACCAGATCTGTCTTTTTATTACAGATCGAACAAGCATTATTAAAACATTTGTTAAACAAATGTCCCGCTGATCTAAAATAGTTTAGGGTATCTTGAGTAAAGGAATTACTATGACCTACGTGGGTGTGGTATGAGGAGTTAGGGGGACGTGTTAATTAAATTACTGAAACTTACAGGGGAGGTTGTTAGCCTGGGGGAAAGGGGGAGAACGTTGCCTGTTTGAGAGTGGCAAGGGGAGCGCTCTTATACTCTACATGTGGTATGAAATGGCTTGAGCTATGTGTCGCGCAAGATGTACCATAAGTGGGTGGATCCCAAAATTTTTTTGAGTAGGCTGGCATTGCTATGCACCATCGTTTCTAGTAATGTCTTGACGACACAACTCGTTACTAAGGCTATATTTATTCGGAATGGTTTTAACTTGGGGAGGGTTGTTCGTTACAACTGTATATGCCAGTCGAAATAATTGGCGCAATATATATTCAGGAGAATCCGTATTTCGGACCTTGCTTTATTCCCTTTTGGGCAGTCAACGAATATGAAGCGAATGAAGGTAGCGTTTAACTACCTCATTCCATTAAGGTGGTTAGTACTGAAATTTCAAACTTCTCGTAGGTCCTCCCCAAGAATATATATATTATTCGAGGCTTGTGACAACTTATTGAATAATTCTTTTATTATTACTTCTCACATAAACCCAGTATTATACTTCAAAGGGTTGAATAGCCATCACCATCCTATGTTAAAGGCGGAAGATGAAGAGATAAGCTAAAGTCAAAAATGCCCACCAAAAGTTGTGTTGAACGATTCCCTAATAGTTTGGACGTGATTATGCACTTTCTCGCACTTCGAATTCGCTAATCGATGGTGTTTAAATGTATAACATTGAGTTTGTTCTCTCCCCAAATTAAAACCCGCGTTATTGACTTGCCCGAAGGTTGGTTTCTGTTGATATCCAACTTGTTAGTTAGTTAGTCGCACTATACAGCATCTGTTGGTGGTTTTAGGTTTTCATTTATCAATTTGAACATCTTTTTATGCGGTTTTGAATCATTTCTGTACTTGGTTTCTAAAAATTCAGTCAAATTGAAAGACTAACTTCTAATTTATTGATAGTCTTCTAATGTTTTATTAGAAACAAACCCTCTTCGTATGGTTAAAAAATTTTAAATTGCATTTAAAAATTATTGTCTACTCCCCTTGACCCGTGGGTGATGACATTGCTTGAATAATTGTGTGCTAACTTCCTACGTATAAAAGCACACGATACCACATTGGTCACAATCAGACTTTCTACTGAGAAGGCATTGATCATAGAAAAGATCTGGGTCAGATTTATTATGGAAACCAGAGTTTAGGAATAAAACTTGGTTCAGGTCTGTTTTTTACAGCTAGTGAGGCCGTCTCGTTTCTGAAACCTATTTCGTTTTCAGAAACACTTAGCCATGATAGTTTTGCATACCTAAAATCCACTTCTATAGGAACAGTAAAAGATCACTAACCTTTGGCTTTGTTATTCACCAAGCTTACCTGTTTTCGCGATAGACTACTCTCGTATACCTAACTTCTATCTGTCATGAGTGACATAAATGCTTCTGTTATTGACGACTAGTGCATCTAATCTGTGCCTTATAGTACCCTATTCTACATGCACTACTTATTATTCCTTCATATGCAACCTGTAGGACAATGCTTTTCCGACACGGGATCGTTCTGTTTGAGAGTTTTTTTTTATGTTGAATTGAATCGAATTCCTCACTATTTTACTCTCGTCTTTAATTATCATAGGGTAAACAAAGCATTTTATCCAAAGCGTCACAGTAGTATTTACGATGTGTGATGATTCCTGGGTTAGTAAGTCTAATATCACAGAAAAAGATTCTCTGGTCACGTTGGCAAAAGTTGCGGAGCAGGCTGAACGATACAACGACATGGCGTGTGCTATGAAAAAAGTTGTCAAGATATCAAAAACACTCACTAATGAAGAGCGAAACTTATTTTCGGTGGCTTACAAAAATGTAGTCGGGTGTCGTAGATCAGCTTGGCGTGTTATATCAAACATTGAACAACGGTTAGAAGAGCAGAAAAAAAAGATAGCCGAAGATTACCGTAATGTTGTCGAAAAGGAATTACAAGCTGTATGCCAGGAAGTCTTAGTAAGGTTTTCAAGTCTTCCTAATCACATTTTCTTTTTAGGATATCTTAGACAAAACCTTAATCAAAAATGAAGATACAGCTGAAGGGACTGTGTTTTATCTAAAAATGAAAGGTGATTATTATAGATATTTAGCTGAGGTTTTTACTGGAGACAAACGTACTGACTTTGAAAAACATTCAAAGGAAGCTTATCAAGCAGCAACAGAAAAGGCGAACAGCGACCTACCTCCAACTCATCCAATCCGCTTAGGTTTAGCTTTGAACTTCTCAGTGTTCTATTATGAAATTGAAAACAATCCAGAAAAAGCATGCTCAATAGCTCAAACTGCATTTGATGAATCAATTAAACAGTTAGATCAACCTGATAATGGTTCCTTCAAAGATAGCACACTTGTAATGCAGCTACTTCGTGATAATTTGACTGTAAGTTGATAGTTTACTATAACATATATTTTCAGTTATGGACGTCTGAACGTGAAGCTGCTCAGTGATACAGAATATCTGTGACAATGCTGTTTTTTACTTTGAAGATGTAACCTCAGAGATGTGCTCTACACTCATTTAATACTGTATGATCGAATTTATTGATCGCTCCTAATCTTAGTCTCCTTTGGATACATTGTGTGATAATTGTTCTCATTTTATTATCATACGGTATATTGATTTTATTGAATATTTGTGTAAAATTTAAGATCATTCTTGTTAACGTTATCGTTTGTTCGTTAACTTGAAATGAATAACACTGCTTTGTCAAACCGACCACATATCCAATGAGTTTAAAATTCACTTGTTTCATATGCGTTAGTAATATATTGTGTGAAGTGAATCAATGATGTCATATATGTAGGAATACATTTTTTTTTATATTGAGCACGTATACGTCATTGTAAGCCATCATATTTGAGTTTCCGACGAATAAATTTTCCTCCAAAGACGAAGGAAATCTCGACATGGTAATCGTGGTTAGAATAATTCCGTTAATCACTCATAAATACATCTTTGTTTACGTACCTTACGCTTGACTAATTACAGTCCCCTATCTCTTTTGTCACATGTTTATATTAATGAAGATCTAGGAATATTAACCAATGAGCCACTATCACAGATATTTATTGAGATGCTAGTTTAGTCATACGATACTCCTAGATTCATATAATTAAGGACGTTACGTAGTTATCAAGGAAACAAGCTTTGTGTGCATAACGTTATTTCTCGTAATACTAATCTTTCTATGTAGAATGATGGAGATCAGTCAGTCAGTCAATTGCAATGCGGAACTTCGTACATGAGTATATAAGTTCTGGTTGCCATACCGCATCAGCACAGAGAGGCAACTGTCATTTCAAATCCCATACTGGTAGCGACAGTAGAAGTACTAACAGTAATGGAGAAGGTTAGGTGTCCAAAGATTCTATAGGTATACTTAAGTGAGATAACTGTAGTAAGAGAAAGATAGAGATGATGAAGAATTCTGAGGATTAGAATTTGACAGAACACAAAGAGTGGATGCACCTGCGTCATAGCAAACGATTCTGAGCTATGTGGTTCAAGGTCTCTGACCGTCGGTGACTTTCGTCTCGCGGACCCCAACCAGGTGGCCTACATCTACCAACATGACTCAGTCTACTCACTAGTGATTTCATGGACTTGTGGCATGTTTTTGGTTGGCTGCCCTTAGCTTTCTTCCAACCTACTCCTACACCATAGAACAAAGCTCGTCGAGGCAGTCGGTGGTAAGGCATACGTAACACATGTCCCAACCACCTCAACTGATAAAGTTTCATTACTTCATCTATTGATTTCTCGTTCCTACCTAGTACTCATTTCCCAACAACAGCATTGCTTTCTCGGTTGTCCCATGATGCACAAGCAGTGCTTCGAAGACATCTATAATCGAATATTAATAGCCTAAGAATGTCCCCTACTCTCACCGACCATGTTTCGCATCCGTACAGTAGGACGGAGCGAACTGCTGCACAGTACACTCGTCCTTTGGTTAGCAAACGGATATCTCACCCTCGCCATAGGTGACGCAAATTTGCAAAAGCCAATCGAACTTTCTGTACCCATGCTGAGATTTTGTCAGTCACTGGGCTCGTCACCACTGATGATAATCCCGAAATAATTGACGGAGATATAAACTATAGTTCTTTAAATTCTTTCTTACTCAGATAATTTGTCCAAAAAGTTCATAAAGTAGAAATTTAACTAGTAAGAGAGTCTGTAAACTAACTAGTCTAACCAATGGGGGGGGGGGGACAAATTAATAAATGGGTATGATAGTAAAAGTTAAAAAATAATATCTGAAATGATTTGAAATTTTTATTCACTAGTTTTACTGTAGTAGTATACCAGGGAAAAATCAAAAACGGCGAAAGCTGAAAGCGAAAAAAAGAAAATGCAGATTTAAGCATATGATAATTTTTGCCTACCTAATATATTTATTCCATGTAACTGTGGATACAAGTTAATACGCTAGTAAAAAATTCTATGCTGATTCTTACTTTACAATGAACAACAGTATCATTATTATGTTCTAACACATAATTGGTTTTTCATTTTTTTTTATATCCACTCATTGTTATCTTATTACTCAAGAATCTTTGATTCTTTTGCAGTCTTATCTCTTAATGACTGTCAAATACAGAGTTATATTGATAAGTAAACAATTGTCAACTAGACCTTGAATGACATGACTCGAAATCGTTCGCAATGGCGCCGGTGCATTTATGTTCTTTGTGTTCTCTCAAATCCTAATCTTCTGGATTCTTCAACACCTCTCATTTTGACTTTCTAAACTTTTCTCATTGAATCATACTTCTTGAATAATAAATATCTTCTAATCCTAACCTCTACGATTACTTCTAATACCTTTACTACCTCTTCTACTATTGGATTTGAATTGACAATTACATCTCTGTGCTGATGTGGTATGGCGACATGAACTGTTGTACTCACGTATTAAGTTCTACGTTGCAACTGACTGACTGACTGAATTGTCAACATGAGTCAAATATTTCTCATTAGTGAAATGAAATATGAATTTTTCACTTCAGTAAGAAGAAGAAGAACAACAGAGATATAAATAAAACACTCTATCTATCCTATCAACCTTAAGTTTTCAGAATATCAAAAACGTTATCATTTTTCTTAAAATGATTACTTCAGACATAGTATATCTGTTATTTACACCTGATGACACTCGTTCATACCTTCACCAAATATTTAACATTTTGTTATCATCATGGTATGAAATCTTGAAGGGTGTTGAAAATCAAAATTATTTTTCCATCTAAACTCATAACTCTTCAGGACTGTACATTCTTAACTTATTGTGGTGGTGGTTAGCAGAACAAGCTACAGGTCAAACATGGAGAAATTCGAATACTTCACTTCAGCTATCTGAAGTTTGTGATGATAATGTTGTTTAGAAGAAGAACAATGAAAGCTCCACAACCAAAGCATCCAGGTCAGAGAACCAAACACCACCACCACAATCATCTCCACATTCTTAACTTATGCTTATGTAATCGATATGTTTTGTTCGAAGCGTCGGATTTTATCAAACTTTCATTAGTTACTTTTTAATTAACTTGTTGCTGCATATATTTCTTAGTATATAGGTTTCTAACAGTTGTTAAGTTTTTTGAAGTCTTATAAGATTAGGGTATTTTCATAAGAAGATAGGCCTTAGTTATAATAAAGAGTTTCAGCTAAATCTGTTGTAAGTGCATCAAAGTTATATTACAGTAAAACGTCTGAATGAATTTATGCATTAAAACAGTTAAGTCAACAAACAATGATTTCAATACTATTGTCCTACACTACTTTGCATAGTTTTGTTTATTCAGTTTAGTGGTCAAAACAACTGATCTGTTATCATGCAATGACAGTTCCGAACCCTGCTCCATTTATTTAAGTCTGGACAGCTAGGTGGTATCATTACAGTGTTTTCTAAAGTTATTTTCCAAAGACATTGTAGGCTTGTCATTCGTATTCACTACTTGCCCACCTTAACCAATATATGATTGATACAGTAAAACGTTTGGTAGAATATTTGTCATTCAGATCAACCAAGGTTAAGGTGAAAATAAGAGGTTATTGTATCTAGTAAATTGGAAGTTGGAAATAAAGAAAGGATCTCTTTAAATAAAGGCAAATCGTTTCAGTGAATTATTTATGTACTTTTAATTAGGGTTTCATAGTTTAGGATAAGTACATTTATATAGAAAGTTATCTATCGAATTCGCTTAGAACAAAACAAGTTATTCTAACTATGCTAAAGACATCATCTATCTTTTGTTGTTCCTAAATAAGCTTTAATTTGTATACGAAATAGATTAACAATTATTCTACTTTAGAAATCTGGTTAAATTTGATATTTCCTTGTACAAAATGAGCGTAGTCAAGGTTGTAAGCTGCTGAAGAGAAATTAAGAAATAAAATGATTTTGTATTATTCTGTCTCATTTGTTGTTTCGGCTTTTTTTCATTTTCAAAAAAAACAAACTACTAACTGTATAAAATTGATCAGAAGATTTATTCAAATCATTTTAAAGATATGATAATAAACTGTTTGCAATGGTTCAGGTGCATTCATTCTTTGTGTTCTCTCAAATCCCTAACATTCAGAGTTCCTCATCAGCTTTATCGTTTTATTTTTAAGTTTATTTCACTAAATTCTACTTCTTGAATACTATTTTTGAGCCCTAATCACTCTGATTACTGCTCATACTTTTACTATCTCTACTACTGTGGGAACTCCGCCAGTACAACCTTCGGGGCTACTGCCGGTCCCAAGCCCGGGTAAAGGAGGAGGGTTGGACATGGGGTTGGCGACCCCATTCCGTCGAAATCTAACTTGCCAAAAAAAACGCTAACCAGAAGAAGTAATTCAAACCATTTTAACTCTGCCCTGGGAGTTGGAGAAAGGATTATGACGTCGCGTGATGAAAGCCGAGTTCCCTCGGAAGTCACGGGGCTGATGCCTCTTCTGACAACCAGAGCAACCATTTTTTTCGGTACATGGAACACCTTTACATATCTTGGCAGCATCATCGACGAGAAAGGTGGATCCGATGCAGATGTAAGGGCGCGGATTGGCAAAGCAAGGGCTGCATTTCTACAGTTGAAAAATATCTGCAACTCCAAACAACTTTCAACAAAAACCAAAATCAGGATTTTCAATACAAATGTGAAGACAGTTCTACTGTATGGAGCGGAAACATGGAGAACTACGAAAGCCATCATCCAGAAGATACAAGTGTTTATTAACAGTTGTCTACGCAAAGTACTTCGTATTCGTTGGCCAGACACCATCAGCAACAACGAACTGTGGGAGAGAACAAACCAGATTGCAGTGGAGGAGGAAATCAGGAAGAAGAGGTGGAAGTGGATAGGACACACACTGCGGAAAGCACCTAACTGCGTCTCAACACAAACCCTCACATGGAACCCTCAAGGCAAAGGGAAAAGAGGAAGGCCAAAGAATA